AGTTACAACTACTGTCGGCTGATGCTTGAAGCGTAGGACACAGTGACGGGAATGATAGGCGACATGTTCTGCGGGGCGCGTCACAACCCGGCTCATGTCCGACGATTGTCGCACCGTAAGAACCCTCCTCCCCTTTCAAAAGCGCATTCAGAGCCTTGGGAGGGGGAGGCACGGGATGAACAAAAGGCGTCTAAAAAAAAAACTCACCGGATATCGCTCATATATTACTTAGAGTATGTTTTCCTGTTTAAGATTATCTAACGTAGTTTCGAACACTCGTGTTCACAAGTGTGAGAACAAAAGCCTAGACGCGAGGCGTGGCAGCCTCCGCTGGCCGCGCAGCGTTGGCCCCGCGGCTAACACTAGGCCATAGCCAACGGGCGGATGAAAATGATCACACATCTGAAACAAGTACCTTTGAACGCTTAAGGGCACAAAATCGTACATTTGGAAGGTAGTCCGAGCGGATGTTTTACCTGTGCGATTTATAATTAACGATAAGAACGAAATTACCTTTACAGCACCGCAAAGTGGTGATGGAATCGGATGGTGGAACTGGAAGAGTAAGCATAGAAGTTTTGTTGATTTCTGTTCCTGTAACTGTTAATCCGTTCCGAGGGCAGCCTTAAAGCTATAAAAAAAGAAACGCCCAGCCTTGTCTTTAAACGGTGCAAATTAATTTTGAGACATTCGGAAGCATTGCTTCACGACGGCCGTTCTCGCGTGCACGGCACCCGCCACCAGGTGTTTACTGCAGTGGCCAACGCCGTTCAGTTTGACTGAAACCACAACCCCGGCCATGGTTGTCTTTGCTACTGAGATCACAGGCATGCAGGCTCAACCGTTTTGATGTAAGCTGTTTCACTAGTCGGTTCTGCAAAACAATCAACGTTATCAAGCAAACATGGGACTGCCTAGTTCATTGTTGAACTCATTTCGACCCGCTGTTCGAAATGAATGAGACTCCTCACTTTTTCGTGTAAGGAGCTCCCTTGAGTAGTACATTAGAGGCCCGTTATGTTCCCCATTCAGGGGTTGAAGGAACATCCGTCTCAGCGCGGGGTGTCTTCGTCTGCCATTCTGGTGACCCGGCAGCGCAATCTCCTGCTCGATCCAAAGGCCCTTAGAGGGATACATCATATTACATTGGTCCCCCCCCCCCTGACGCGGGAGGCCTTCTGACCCACGCGGTGATGAATTGATGCCCTGGATTGATGCAGGAACCATCACTTTGCAACAAGATCCCTGATCGCCGCAGGTGGTCCAGTTATTGGCACATCGTCAGTCCTTCGGGGTCTTCAGAGGCCCAGTCAGGCCCTTGATCTTTGGTTCTGAGGGGCCATTCGACCCCTTCTCCCTGTCAGGCACTGTGGACTCTTGATCGACACAGGGGCCCCGATCAATGTTTCAGGGACCCAGACCAGTGCGAATTGTGCCCGCGGCCTTGCCCCTCTTTGAGAAATGGACCCCCGAGGCTCGGGCTGACAGGGCGCCAATTGTTCGGTGTTGATGATCTCTGGTCGACACAGACACCTGCACCTGTAACAAGTAAGAGGTGTGCATGATAAACATCTCCAGAGAGCAGAATTTCGCCATTAAACGCTTCTGTAGTAGCTGCTTCAGGTCTGTCCCAAAGCTCTGTGTGGCAGCATTAGAATGGCTTTGTCAGGTAACCTGGTGAGTTAGACACTCGAAAGGCCTAGATTCATTATTAGTGAGCACCGCTATCCTTTTAAGCAACAGATGGTTCCTCTAAGGGCAATCCAAAAGAAAGTAAAAATATAGTGGTACCACACTCGTATGATGCCGAGAAAAATAAAAGTAGTTAAGTGAATATAAAGACTGATAACTTTCTGGCAAAATTTTGTAATCAGCTGATTTGACTTAAATTTATTAAAATAAGTGTTCAAATGGTGATATTCATCTTGTAAATTTCATTTAGAAGATATTTCTTGAATCTTTCACTCCTGTAATTCGGGGTTGATGTAATTTAGTGGTCAAGTTTCCTCGGGGTAAAACAAAATGCGTGGAGTAAAATTATCTACCAGACCTTGCTGGTGTTTGCACCAGGCTCTGCTTCCGTGGTGTGTTGGTGAGAGGAAAGAATAGGGGGTGCGTGAAAATCTTGCATTTGGCACACAACCGCCGATTGCAATGCATTTTGTAAACAAACCGAACTTAATGCGTGCAAGCGGCTGGAGTCGCTGGGGTTCTTGGGCTTGGAGGTACCTGGCGCCCTTGCTCCGTGCATACATACACATGATTCGGATGTAGGTGAGGCAGGACATAGCCATAGGTGTCCAGGTTCTGTGGAGCCTTGTTTATGCTTGGTGGTTTCAAGTGAGATCGGTTCTGGATGACATCTAAAAACCTCAGAAAATGGAAATTGTGGTTTAGCATGTGCGATTAGACAATGTCAGGCGGGAGTGAAAAATTCACATAAAATGTGTGGAAAAGGAGTGAAAAAATGCTCCTCGTAGGGTGCTGCTTTACACCAAAAGTCGGTAATTCTAGGACACAATGTTTGGCACAATGACACAAATGTTTTCCTAATTTTATAATGGCTCGCTAACTCATAAGCCCGTGCAAGGTTCTGTGCTTCTATACGCAAGGCGCCAACCGAGCCGTCTGTGAGAAATACGCCAGTAGAAGAAGAAAAAACGCCAGCAGGGGAAAAAGACACATTTGCAGTCGTGCCTTCTTTTTGAAAACTTTCGGGAGCGTGCCCGTTTTTTGGGTGCCGAACTTTTTTGCAAACAGTGGCGTTCTTTTTTATAACATTGACCTACGGCCTAGAGATAAGGAAAAATGCTCCGTTCACGACGAGTGCCGTGCAACCCGAAAGTGCTCACGCTTACGTTCGTGACACGCGAAGTCTTGCTAACAGCAAATCATCTTCTGTGCATTGTGCCATACGTGCCGCATCATCGCTTTTGCGAATATATCAGCGGCGACGCTGCTTTCACCATAAGCGGAAAGCAGCCCGTAGTATGAACGCGATCGAATGACGTTTCTATGACGCCATTAGTACCAAGGCGACTTTAAAATAGGTTCCCAATAAACCTATTTGCACTTTTGTGGGCGTGTGGGTCAGGAACCAGACTGTTTTGGGTCCTAAAAAGGGCATGAACGTGGGCTGCATCAAGAGGTCCTCAAGATGGCTATTTCGGTTCAAGACGCCATACAAATGTGGAATATTTCCTTTAACAGGAAACTGCGTCAGCTGGACACATAAAAATGCGCTGTAAACACAGCGGTGAGGTGAGGTGGTGAGGATGAGTTTGTTGCAACTCTGGTATAGAAAATGCATGTGCTATTACTAGGACCGCCATACACATGCTATTACATTAGTGTTGTGGAAAAACGCGTAGCGATAGATTCGCCTTCCAAAAGTATTCACGCGTGGCCCGTCGACGAGGGCCATTTGGCCGTTGGTTTGACGGTGTAAGCCAGGTTACAGGGTAGCCGACAGTTGTGTAGTCGCACGACACGGTAAACGTCGCATCGTGCTGTTTGAAAAGGGCCTCAAACAATATGGACCTGTGAAGGCGCATCCAAATAATGGATGGCGGGTTTAAAGTGCGCTAACCATGAGCTATGTTCAGCACGGAATCAGATCAAAATCCTTCATGGCAAAATTTTTTTTTGCTGAATTGTTTCTCATTTTGTACCTGAACTGGGTATATAATCTGAACTAACAATGCGCTCCCCCACTCCCCAAAAAAACAATTATTTGACATGATTTTTTCTCACAAGAACTTACCAGAAATCAATTCGGGCCTCAGCTTCGAGTGAAACAATGTCAAACGTAGCCCACCATTGGTAGAAGACCAAATGTCGCTTGAAATAAAAGAGTCTCCACGAGATCGGAGAATCAGTACCGTCAATATCCATATCAAATATAAAATGGCTTACCCAACGTCTAAGGTACCCCTCAATAGAGGACATTATATTGAGGTTGCTAGTTCAAGTTACCCAGCTGCACCCTCCATAGCCACGCCACTGCGAAGAAAGCTGAAAGGAGATTGGTTTTGTGTAGTGGTCAATATTTTCCTACCTTTTGCAATATTTCAGCAAAACAAAACTTAGCGGGGCAACCCAACATTTGGAGGGGGGGGGGGGCAGGGCCCTCACAAAAATACGAGTTGACAGCTGTTAAATACAAGCAAAAGAAGACCCCACAGCACATAGGGATGCCCATGAACTGCTTAAAAAAGCTCGAAACTCTTCAGTGATCAAATAAAAAGTTGCAAAAATGTTGTACCAACACACATTGCACGAGCAACATATCATCAAGCACTTTACACAGCCCGCTGCAACGGTACGGGGCCATCCGCCAAGTATGTTAGGCATGCGGGAAAGGGTGTACCGAAAGAGCGGAACCCAAACGTCAAAGGGATGGGGTTTTGGGCAGCGTAATATTACGCTCAGTTGTGGTTGCAAATCGCGTTACTTTTATATTTCAAACGCTTAAGGCGGAATACTGGTCACATCTTTTCATCACAAGCAACACGCCCACTTTGTTACATTTCAAGCTCGTTACGGCCAAACGGGCGTTACTTTTTGGTTCGTTTTTTTTCTGGCAGCGTAACCAGAGGAAGAGGTTTTTGTTCAGCGTAACGAGCGCAAAACCAAGGGGAGGGAGAGGGCTGAAAATTGCAAAATATGCATCAGGTATGCGTGGATGGTTCCTTTCACTGCGTGTAAAGGTTTTACAATGAATCTTACCGTACTGCATGGAAACGATTCACTTTTAAAAATACTCGCATTGGAACGTTCCTGAGCTGCCGTTCTCGTGCACAAGATCTGTGCTGTTAAAGCCGTCTGTCATGCCCAAAGACGTCACACAAAGGGAATTTTTGCGTTGCTTTCGTGCCGCATGACGATCAGTACAATGCCAAAGCCTGTACCTGGGTTTTCCCAGCTGGACGCTGGTGGACGGCCCGCCTGCGGCGTTCTGCAGATGTGGTGACGTTTAAGGCTGTGTTCGGCACACAGCCTCTGACACAGCTCATTCTCCTCGCGCAGAAGCACGACGGCGGTCGGCTGGTCTGAAGGTGAGAGCGAGCAGCATGGTCACAGTGACGGGAAGGTAGGTTGTTCGGCGGTGTGCAAGGTATACGCTTGTGACGTGTCCATTGCAGGCAAATATCCTCACACGGTTATCGCGCGCATGCTATTTTGGTAGGCACGACGGTAATAGCTATATTTGGTGTTTATTTAGAAAAAGACAACACATTTTCGCCCCTTCATGTTCATGGCAGTTAATGACTTTAAAGGCATTGAGTAGACAAAAAATTCAACTTCCTGTTTTCTTGAATCGAGTAGAAGTCATTATAAAAAACAGTTTTTTCAACCACTTCAACTTTCCCACCGCTTCTTCATCGCTGTTATCGCCCGTCGCGCTTATCCAAAATTATGGCGACGCCCTGCTACATTTTTACAGTGCACGGGACGATATTAGACACAATGTGTCATAGAGGTACGCTAGTGTCAGTCAGCCAGTGGTATGTCATTGGATGGTGCCTGCAAACGGGCTACGTCATGTCACCAGTGTCTTGCCACGGAGTTTCGTCCTTGAAGACACTGTACGCCTTTGCGCCTCTCTCTTGGAGAGTTCCGGGCGCTCAGACATCGGTGGAGTTCCCGAACTTTTGGTGGGAACGCCGCGTAGCTGTCCCCTGTGTTTCCTAATCTGATCCAGGCGCTGCGTGGTAAGAATAGACCTACATCGATGTCGATGTGGTTTGCCCCATAATTGCATTGAGTCTTACCTGTGGACGCACTGGGGGCTTGATAATCTCCCAGCTTGCTTCCATAAATGTTACGGATGAAACCGCCAAGGGTAGCATGCAGTTGGCACGTGCGATTGTTGAACAGTAAGACCATATTTTTCTGTTTTACCTGTCCGATAGGAATGGATAGAAATCCATGTACTTGTTGAGGGGGTTGAATACCTCGTATCCAATGTTTTTTTTTCAAACACGAACTGAGTCTTTGGACACCATGTGCAAAGTTTTAGCCAAAATCGTGATGTGCACTCCCCCAGCAACCTTGAAAAAGAACTGTACCTTCTGCTGACATAGTTCAGCGCATGGAGCTAGAATTTTGGCACTCTGCCAGCACGGCCGCCGTGTCCCCGAAATGCACACGGCTACGGCTTGACTCTTAGAAAAGCCGGCTCATCCGTTGCCACTGATTCGGTTCCGGCCAAACCGGCCCCGGCCGACCGCGATCATCGGCCGAGGCCCAGGACGGCCCCCGCACGGTGCCCATTGGGGCCGTCCGCAAGCCAAGGCAACCACGGTCGACTTGCACTGGACTGTCGGCCAGCCAGGCCAACTCCGGACGACTTACACTGGACTGTCGGCCAGCCAGGCCAATCACGATCGATTTACACTGGACTGTCAGCCAGCCAGGCCAATCACGGTCGACTTGCACTGGACTGTCGGCCAGCCAGGCCAACCACGGTCGACTTGCACTGGACTGTCGGCCAGCCAGGCCAACCACGGTCGACTTGCACTGGACTGTCGGCCAGCCAGGCCAACTCTGCACGGCTTGCACTGGACTGTCGGCCAGCCAGGCCAACTCTGCACGGCTTGCACTGGACTGTCGGCCAGCCAGGCCAACTCCGGACGACTTGCACTGGACTGTCGGCCAGCCAGGCCAATCACGATCGATTTACACTGGACTGTCAGCCAGCCAGGCCAATCACGGTCGACTTGCACTGGACTGTCGGCCAGCCAGGCCAACCACGGTCGACTTGCACTGGACTGTCGGCCAGCCAGGCCAACCACGGTCGACTTGCACTGGACTGTCGGCCAGCCAGGCCAACTCTGCACGGCTTGCACTGGACTGTCGGCCAGCCAGGCCAACTCTGCACGGCTTGCACTGGACTGTCGGCCGGCCACATTAGCTCTTTGCGAGCGAGGGAAACCAGGTGCGGTGTGCACTGGAACTTTGCATGCTACAGACAACCAGGTGCAGTGAACACTATAGCTCTCGACGAGCTAGGAGAAAACAGCCAGATGGCCGGGAAACCCGGCATGATGTACACCAGAGATTTCCGCGAGTTCGGAGCTCCCTCGACACTCCCTGTAACGTTTCCTTTTAGTTTCCTGAGATCGGTAATCTTTTGTTGGATGCATCACAGACACGCTAACCATGTCTTAATATGTCATCGAGGACAGATGTTGATTGGCGATGGATCTGCGTCGTTACCGTCGCCTGACTGGCCATTCACGCCCCACTAGCCATTCAGTGTGACCGCCAATACATGGTCCCCAAGCCTCCCCAGCGGTTCCGCTAGCCAACACGTGGTCCTCCAGCCTCCCAGGAGTTTTGCTAGCTTTATGCCAAATGAGATCCGCCGTCCAAGCGAAGCCAATTAATTCAGCACGAGGTGGGTAAACTGCGGTGATTTGATCAGATCCAATGGGCTAGATTTACGTTTAATGTCGTGACTAATTTCTCGTCATAAGAATGTTCTTACTAGAAGAACGTTGCATTAGCATCGAAACTTGAATAGTATGCGTAACATGCCGTGTTTCTGTGCCGTTATCGCTGAACAATAATAGACCTTACACAGCACAAACCTAACCAGGGTGGACGAACTGTCCCGTAAAACCTCAGGACATACGACATTTTTTGGATTTCATGCAGGTAATGTTCCGAGATCCGGCAACGCACTCCGGTCTCGCTGGCGTAAAATATCATGTACATACCTAAGGCAAGGCATGCAGTTTAAGGCCGGCATGCTTCAGGAGTATCAACCTAAAGGCGTACTGCTGAGTGTGCTTGTCCATCTTTCGCAGCAAGAAGCGGGAGCGTCAGCTTGAGCTAGGCGAGCCAAGTCGTTACGCTGTGGCTGGTCCGTGTCGTGATGACGCGGGCGACTGTGCTACTACTGCTGGCGGGCCTGCAGCTAGCCCGCACTGACGTCCGTCAGAAACGCCAAGGTAAGGCATCCTGCGATATTTCATACTAGAAATGTACTCGATTTATACGTGTGTTTTCTATGCGACGTGTCTTACAGTATGGTGTAATGGAAACGCCATTGGCAGGGTAATAGTTCCGCTTTCATTTAAAGAAAGTTTGCACTTGATTGCAGAATAAATTGCAGAAATAGTGCGCACATGCGATCCCAAAGATAAACAGCGTATGTCAGCTAGGCCAGGGCAGACAATGGCAATCAAACACTTGGTCTCCTTATTCCGTCCTTACAAGTCCGTACCAGCAGGACAAAACTCAACCGAAGCATGGTACTGGCCGCGTATGTCGCAAACGTGCGATCGGTTCGGAGCATTATAGCCTGGCCGTATGTTTTGCAAATGTGCGATCGGTTCAGAGCATTATAGCGTGGCCGCATATTTTGCAAATGTGCGATCGGCTCAGATCATTATAGCGTGGTCTGGACGGTGCAGCCAATTTTTACAGTGAAGGTCTATCCAGTGCAATGCAAGTTTCGTATTTGGTTACTTACACAATACCCGAGCAAACAGCTATTCTTTCGTATGAAGGCTTCCGCTTCATTTCAAAATCCCATCCATGGCGGCATAAAGGATGCAGCACGATTTAAACTTTCTGAGAAGCATCTTCCAAGGCAAACTAGACTCACTAATCCTGCTAAGCCGTTTCCAGTTGGCTTGTGACGCCTTGATCGACCCACACCCGAACCCTGCTCACACGCCTTGATCGACCCACACCCGAACCCTGCCCACTGTAGCACCTCGCGCTCGTATGTAGAAAGCACAGAGCGGTCGGTTTTGCAGACTGCCAAGCGTTTGGAGCGTTTTTGGCTAGCAACACTAGCACGGATACATTTCACGACAGTTTTTGGCATGATTAGAATTCAGGTGATCAAGTAAGCTTTAACTCTGTATCGCCTTTACGTCCCTTAGAGGTATGTCATCCTGCAGCTATGTTCGTACTACCGTACTACCGTGTGCTGTGTATTTATTGTAATATATCTAAATGACTTTGCCTGTTAGTGGAGTGCTGCTATGTCGGCAATAAAAGGACATCAACAAAATACCACACACTCAAAATTGTTTTTTAGACAAATAGAATTTTGGTATGCACATCAGGTGCGAAATAAATGGCGCAGTTTGTGGCATGCGATAACGGATTCACATCCCCACTTTTTAAAAAAATAATGTTGATAACGAGTCCAGGGTAGAGCTAAAAATGTTTGGGTCGAATCAGTTCGTGCTTGTCAGCCCGCCTCAAAGAAACTACACAAGGCTCGTACGCTTTTAGTCTTGGAACCTGAAGGCACGCATCTAGATTACCATACACATCTAGGCCTAGATTACAAAGCTAGATTACAAAGTGTTTGACGCAGGGTCTTGTGTTAGCAAACGATTGCTTTCTCGTGATTCCTGTCAAAACAAGTGATCCATGTCAAAACGAACTGCCCCGGCACCGTTTCTCCGCTGCCGTTCCGCGTTAACGAGGTGAAATCATATGACCCTGACTTCTGGGAACCTTAACCGACGACCCTGGAACGACTGAGTGAAGTGGCTGCTCAGAACCCCGCCGTCCCTGACGCGGCTGAGTGTGTGATGGACCGCTCAGGGCCCGGTCAAACCTGACGCGGCTGAGTGTGTGATGGACCGCTCAGGGCCCGGTCAAACCTGACGCGGCTTAGTGTGTGATGGACCGCTCAGGGCCCGGTCAATCCTGACGCGGCTGAGTGTGTGATGGACCGCTCAGGGCCCGGTCAAACCTGACGCGGTTGACTGTGACGAGACTGTCCAGGGACCTGTCTAACCTGACGCGACTGACTGTGTGACGAGTGTCCAGGGCCCTGTCAATCCTGACGCGACTGACTGTGACGAGATTGTCCAGGGCCCTGTCTAACCTGACGCGACTGACTGTGTGACGAGTGTCCAGGGCCCTGTCAATCCTGACGCGACTGACTGTGACGAGATTGTCCAGGGCCCTGTCTAACCTGACGCGACTGACTGTGTGACGAGTGTCCAGGGCCCTGTCAATCCTGACGCGACTGACTGTGACGAGACTGTCCAGGACCCTGTCTAACCTGACGCGACTGACTGTGTGACGAGTGTCCAGGGCCCTGTCAATCCTGACGCGACTGACTGTGTGACGAGATCGTCCAGGGCCCTGACGACCCTAACTGTGTGATGACACAGACCTGCCCAATGGACTCTGAGACCGCTGACGGTGGGGCGGGACTGCCCAGAGCCCAGCCTACCCTGCGGCAGCTTAGTTTTGACGTACGGCGGTCTCGCCGACAGCCATCTCGTTCGGAGGCGGCTTTGCGCAGAACCGACCGCCGCCGGAGACATGCAAGGACTATGACCTACGCGATGGCGTCTGTGACGTCATCAGCAACTGTCCGGCGCTGCTGCAGCTCGTGCAGAGGAGGACTCCGCAGGACATCTCTAACGTGCGCAAAAGCGTCTGCGGTACCCGGTTCATCAACTTTGTGAGTAAATGTTCTCAAGGCATCCAGCTGCTGCTTCATCCATCGGATGAAAACATCCAGGGAGCAAACGCCCAGGGAGCACCCAGTATCTACGGTGGGAGGCGAGGGGGGGGGGGGGCGGGCGTCAAAGGCTTATATTGGGGCCATTCGACTTTCCCCGATATGTTTACCGGGGAGAGGTGGGGAGGGGGGGGGGCGGGAGTTGGCAACACAGCAAGCTTAATGGCGGCCTGTCAAAACCTAGCCTTATGGACAGAAGTCTGAAGACGTGTTTTTTCGTTAAAATGCTTTTATGACTTGGTGATGTCCTGAACTTGCTGACAGCGACAAAAATTGTCGGCCATTCAGAGAGTTTTACATAAGCTAGCGATAATAAGGTAAGGTTCTGAATAAATTTTCATCACATGTATGACCACCCTCAGTGAAAGAGATCCGTGTCGAATGATGTAAGCATTTTCTTTGGTCATTCGTTCCTCACTGCGAAAGCATGATATTTTAAGATAAAAATGTCCCGGTGTCGTCACTGCTTAAGAAATGATGCTTATAAGGCTTTGGTTCTGATATGTGAAGGAGTGTATCTATATGAAGCTCACTAAACATGCTTCAAAAAATAAAAGACAAGTAGTTCCTGACGTTAGTTTTCAGTGCAAATTTAGCTCCAAAACATTCAGTCGTAATCTAGTCCGTCAACCTTTTCACATTGTGCACAAACTAACATTCTCTGTCCAATCCAGAAAACCAAAATTGTTTTTGATAATCCACATCGATTCATCAAATGTGCACACAATGCAGCCGTATGTACCACATGAAGAATATGCCAACAGCTTACGTTTCGGCAGACTTTATTCTATTCACATTCGTTTTGTGCCCGTCAGCTCCTTAAATAAGTAAACTTCAAACATCTGGCTTGCAATTTCTCGATCCAGTGCAGTCCAGTCGATAATTTAATCTTTATTCGATGGATGCATATGCTATGATGCCTGTTGGAGTACTTCCGTTTTCCAAACTGAAAGGTCGGATTTTTGTGACGCAAGCTCTTTTAAGTAAACCGTTGAAATGGCATAATTCAATGAATATCCGTCAGCTGAGGCTTTTGAGAAACAATGGATAGTGGTAGAGGGAATTCACCTGAGGAGTGGTATTTGTGAACCAACCGCGAGATTCCTCCCTTGTTTAAGATTACTGCGTTCCCTGCCAGGATAAGGGTTATTTGGCCAGTCAGGCGCGCCAGCAGTTAACAATGCAGATGACTACGTGACGGGTCTGCACTCAACTCCCGGCCGACGTGATGGGTCTGCACTCAACTCCCGGCCGACGTGATGGGTCTGCACTCAACTCCCGGCAGACGTGATGGGTCTACATTCAACTCCCGGCTGACGTGGTGGGCCTGCATTCAACTCCCAGCCGACGTGATAGGTCTGCGCACTACTCCCAGCTGACGTGATGGGTCTACACTCTACTCCTGACTGACGTGATGGGCCTGCACTTAAATCCCGACTGGCGTGATGGGTCTACATTCAACTCCCGGCTGACGTGATGGGTCTACATTCAACTCACATCTGACGTAATGAGTCTGCACTCAACTCCCGGCTGACGTGGTGAGCTTACATTCATAACCCGGCCAACGTGATGGGTCTACACTCAACTCCCGGCTGACGTGATGGGTCTACACTCAACTCCGGGCTAACGTGATGGGTCTGCACTCAACTCCCGGCTGACGTGATGGGTCTACATTCAACTCCCGGCTGACGTGATGGGTCTGTACTCAACTCCCGGCTGACGCGATGGGTCTACACTCAACTCCCGACTGACGTCACGGGCCTGCACTCAAATCCCAACTGACGTGATGGGACTACACTCAACTCCTGGCTGACGTGTGGGCGTTGTTCATGGCCTTAGAGCTCTCTTCTGCTGGAGCTTTGGGACGTCCCTATCTTGGGAACATCTCTTCTTGAATTTTAGGCACAACTCAATGAGGATTGGGGCGTCCTTTGCCAAATATTGTCTCTCAACGATGGCATTGGAGCAACGCTCGACTTGGGCTCGACTTGGACGAGGGCTCGATATGGGCCCTGTACTTCGTCTTGGAGTTCCCATTCACCTAGGTGGTACGGAGGCCTATCTGGGCTTGCGTTAGGCCAGGGCTAGTTAGTCTTAGCCCGGCCGTCTGCTATTTCAACGCCCCTCCACCTAAGGCTAATTAGTCCTAGCCCGGCCGTCTGCTATTTCAACGCTCCTCCACCTAAGGCTAATTAGTCCTAGCCCGGCCGTCTGCTATTTCAACGCCCCTCCACCTAAGGCTAGTTGGTCTTAGCCCGCCCGTCTGCTATTTCAACGCTCCTCCACCTAAGGCTAGTTAGTCTTAGCCCGGCCCTCTGCTATTTCAACGCCCCTCCACCTAAGGCTAATTAGTCCTAGCCCGGCCGTCTGCTATTTCAACGCCCCTCCACCTAAGGCTAATTAGTCTTGGCCCGGCCGTCTGCTATTTCAACGCCCCTCCACCTAAGGCTAGTTAGTCTTGGCCCGGCCGTCTGCTATTTCAACGCTCCTCCACCTAAGGCTAGTTAGCCTTAGCCCGACCGTCTGCTATTTCAACGCCCCTCCACCTAAGGCTAGTTAGTCTTAGCCCGGCCGTCTTCTATTTCAACGCTTCTCCACCTAAGCTCGGATGTGCTCATACATATGCAAGAGATACTTGTCTAACTATGCTGATTGACATTCTTCTACTTACACTGTTGAACATGCCTCTAGTTATTCATGGGGCGCGCCTCTACCTGAGTTTAAACGCTTTGCTCCACTAGGATTGGAGGGGTACCTGCACTTGGCCCAGAACCGCCATCCACCTATAGGCCTTGGGCTTTCCTCTGCCTGGAAATTGGGGCTCTTTTCTACGAAGGCTGGGGTCACCGGACCAGGGACAAGCGCTGCCTAGCATACGTGGCATTTAGCATGATTTGCTGATGAAGTCGGCGTTTTCACCGAGTAGGCTGGTATCACGCTGGTATGATCGAGTGATGAAATCTGACAGGTGTTGTATTCTCGGGAGATCTGTATAGTTACCTCTGATGAGTTATTACCAGCAGACACCCGCACCAGGCGTGGTGGTAAATGCCTGGACCAAGACTGATAATGCGTGAGTCATGCAAAGTAACAAAAATCGGTTGAATTTATGGCGGTCAGCGCTCAACGATGGCTTTAAAAAAATGCACCTTAACAAAAGTGCTTTTGGTATGCCTATAAAACTGTGCGGCGGTTTTAACTAACTCAAATACAACATTTATATGTTTATGCGAGTGCGTGTTGTTTACATGATGCGGCCGTCAGGAGCCCGATGACAAACACACAGACTGCGTGCACGTGACCACTGCTGGCCGGGACAGGACGGCAGTGTTCTGTGACGGCGTGTCTCTGTGTGTGATCGGCAGCGACCCGTGACCCTGGTGTGCTGCGCCACGGGGTCCCAGCCGCCTACCCAGCCGCCTACCCGGCCGCCTACCCGGCCACCCACCGAGCCGCCTACACGGCCGCCCACCGAGCCGCCCACACGGCCGCCTACTCAGCCGCCAACCGAGCCTCCCACCCGACCACCGACAAGCGGCGGCTTCAGCGGCGCGCCTGAGGACCACCCCAACCGGCGCCTACTGCCCTCCTCCTGCGGTTTCAGCTTCACAACGAAAATCGTCGGTGGAGTGGAAGTGGCGCTGGGCGAGTTTCCATGGCTGGCCATCCTCGGTTATGAAGGTACCTTTCAGAACGCCTCAGACGACAACGGTTAGCTGGCTTGGGAGCAGCAGTTTTGTGTTCTCGTGAGAGTAAGGCAAACACTCTTGTGTCACCCTTCATCAGGGTAACTAGGAGACGGTGCTGAGTTTTCCCCATGCACAGTTTGTGCCACGCACGGCTGTGGCTGGCGCCGATTTCGCAGCTCCACACACCCTTTCCCGTCCGCAGTGCAGGGGACTGACGAGGTGGACTTCAACTGCGGCGGCGCCGTCATCAACGACCGTTACGTCGTGACGGCTGCTCACTGCGTCACCGACCTGCCGGCCGGCTTCAGACTGGCGACGGTGCGCGTTGGCGAACACGACCTCACCAAGGACACAGACTGCGTGAGTAGCGGGGCAGCTAGGGCGGGGTAGCGGAACTGGGAGGGAGGACACGAACCCATCGAGTGTGAACATTGGGAGGGTCCGGTCAGCAATAGCGCTGATCTCGCCTCTGGTCTTCGGTGAGGCGCCACCGCCAGCGCTCTCGTGGACACGACTGAATAGATTGAACCACCAGTTTAGGGGTATCAGTTCATTGCCAGTCAGACATCCTTAAAACCAGGCTAGATCTGCCATTGTGTGATACTTTCGATTGGTAATTAAGTTGCTGCTGCACTATAAGTACCGGGAGCACGCATTTATTGCCCGAAAATATTTTGGTTTGGCTTCCCAGACGTGCCCTTTCCTCCCAGCTCCTGCCTACCTGCTGCACCCATGCAACCTCCCAGCTCCAACAGTCCACCGTCCCGTCCCCACAGACACGGCCTCGGCAGCTTACTCTTTCCACCTGGCCTATCCTACCGTTCCCCAGCCTCCCGGCCTCAGCAGCCTTGCCAGCCCAGCTGCCCCCCTCCCCCCCCCCCCCGTTCCAGCAGGTTACCGTGCCGCCTCCCCCGGCTCCAACAACCTACACTATGGCGCTGCCCCCTCCCCTAATTGCTTCAGCAGCCTACCCTGAATTTCCCACCCACCCAACTCCACAGCCTACGCTGCCGTCCCTTCTCCTCCCCACCCTCTTCTTCCTGTCAGCGTCAGCATTCCCAGGCCATGTTTTCATCTCATGCACCAACTATGCCATTTGTTTTATATAGGTTGGTAGCGATTGCGCGGGCCCGGTGCAAGACTTCCAGATCGAAGAAATCATCTCGCACAAGGAATACAACTCGCCAAATCGCTTCTGGAATGACATTGCACTGCTTCGCCTGAACAAGCCCATCAACAAGCAGTTGTCAAGTAAGTAAATGCTATTGGACATTTGCTATGCTACTTATTATGATATGTGAGTTTCGTCCCTTTTGCAATCTGTTGTTTGTCTCTAGATATCAAGGGTTCGGCAGTCAGCGATTCACTTTCGCCGCGCTACGCTTAACAACCCCCACCAGAGGCATTCCTGATGGTCCACGTTTTCAGCGTCAGTTAAAACCATTATCAGCCCAGGACATTTATACATGTTGGGTGATTTGTGAATTCATAAATTCTCACCCAGTCATGTCTCTTTTCAGCGTTCGTCGACTCGATATGCCTGCCGTTTGACAGCTTTAGGACGCAATCTTTAGATGACCAGAGGCTTTATGTCGCTGGCTTTGGTCTGACATCAGCATGTGAGTACCGACTAATGGCATAAATTTCTGTACGTCTTTTCTGACATGGCATCGTTGTTGTTCAGCCTGAACTAAAAAAAAAACATAAAAAACACGGGAGCCTGTGCCTAACTCGTCGGCACGTTGCACATCTATCGCAAATCTTTCCTGAGGTGCATAACGTACGCGTGGATATTTTAAACAGAAGTCGTAACTTATTATCTTTATTGAAAAGTCGTAGTCCCGTGAGGCTGTTTTAGTTACATCGTCATCCTACATGCAGGCTGTTCATTGCACGAAAGTTGCGTTTACCTCTTTTTTATAGTATCTCATTATCTATATATATTACCTTTACCTGTATCTTTATTTCTATGCTAACCATGACTAAGTACAAATTATGCCGGACGGAGGTTTTATGTTTTGTTCTGCATTGCATGCCTCACTTACATGTGCATGGTGTGTGTTAGAACCGAAAGGCAAGTTTTTCATCAAAAAAGTGACTCAAAGGTAGCGATGCGTGCTTTTTTGGGGCTGATAGAATGTGATATGTGATAATATATATATATATATATATATATATATATATATATATATATATATATATATATGATGTGTGATATCTGTAATAGATATCTGATGTGTTGATGACATCTTCCCACGTGCAACACTGGTCATACCACCTGCGCTTTGTCATTGTACACATCCGCTGGCGTAACTCAGTGACCTCCACGCGCTCCTGCGGGGACCATGGCGTGCCCCCCCCCCCCCCCCCGGTGAGGTCACCGCCGGCCGTCCGGCCGCTGACCGTACCGGCACCGTCTGCTCTCCCACAGTCGGCGACTCCAGCGAAGTGCTGATGAAGGTGCAGGTGCCGACGGTGGACGACGATCAGTGTGCGGCCGTGTTCCGGCGCCAGCGGGCCGTCATCGGGCCGGGCCAGATGTGTGCCGGAGCCGAGAAGGGCCGTGACTCGTGCTCGGGCGACTCGGGCGGCCCGCTGATGGCAGCCGACCGCACCACCGGGCCGCCCTACCAACTCATGGGCGTCGTATCGTTCGGCGTCACACGCTGCGGCACCGAAGGCGTGCCGGGGGTGTACACGCGCGTCACAGGATACCTCAACTGGATCATGGATCACATGCGTGACTAGCGGAGTGGTAGCGTGTGTGTCCGCGCCAGGCAGGCGGGGCCGTGCGGGTCTGACCAAGCCGTGGTAGAATGGTCCACCATGTTCGACATGTCGCGTCGAGTCGTCTGCTTGCTCGATTTTATAGCTTTTCTCTGTTGGGCGTTCTGTTCATAAGCAACGCTGCTCGCATGTGAGTCGGGCATGGAATTCTCTAGGCGCTTATTTAACAGGGGTAAACCGTACGACGGGTCCTTTTTATGAGACTTTCCAGGATGGGTTACATAAACTGATGTTTAAATATTATGCTGCTGACTCGAGTCTTGATAAATGGTTTTCTCGCATGTTTGCAAGTTTAAATAAGACCTACGCCGTTTTACAAATCAACTCGATCCTGCCATCATTCGTAATAAATGATTGCTAACTATTAGTATTATGCGTGAGCCAAATGTGCGTGAGTCCAATGCCGTAATCCATGAACACCTTTGTGCTGAGAGGACGTTGTCTTCGCTCATTGTGTGTATTTCCCACTGAGTGAATTACATCATGGACGTCTACCAGGCCTCATGGCCTTAGAACTTAAGCTGATAGAGTTTTGGAAATCCTCTTTGAAGACCAAGCATGATATTTACTCACATACTCATATTACAAGCACTCATAATTAAAAAAAGATGCCTTGACTGCATTCGCTATTACAAAACTATCGTGCGTGCCTGAACACTTGACGACGAAAAATTCGCTGTTAACTGCGTCTTATGAAACGCCCGATGGTGGGTTAGATGAATAACTTTGAATTTGATGATCACAATGATCCAGGATGCGTAAAACTCTGCATGCGTGTGAGTCCAGTGAAGCAAATAAGTCTCAAACAAAGCAAGATGAAACGAGCATTGCTGACCAAATACAATCTAATAAGTAATCTATCCGCACGCAGATGGATTTCTGCTTGTTCAAAATTATTGGGGTCCAATCTACTCTCCCATATGTGACATTCACATTTGCTCTGATGCGTGCTTATGTACAAAAATGTACACTGGTAAGTGTACACTATTATCAGTGTGCACAAACCGCGAGTCTATTACGCCAAATGTAATCGTGGAGTTGTTTATAGCTGGCGTTTGTGAATACGGTTTCCAGCTACACCGGCCGTCAATTGGCTCTCATTCAATATTGTGCAAGGTGCGATGACGTAATCAATGACGTGATGAGGAGCAAATCTACTGAATAGAGAAAAAAATGTGCCGCCTGGAGCAGTATTTTCCACTTAAAATTGTAATGCTACTTTTAAGCGGTTTAATTCATCATATCTAATGCATACTTCAATATGTTCAAATGTGGAGCCTTCCCTTCAAGAGATGGGGCCCAGGCAAGATCATAGACCCATCCATTCAAACACGAAGGAACCAAGACAAAATATGGACGGTCCCGCAATGATGAATCGTGCCCGTGCAGGTTAATAGATGGGAGCCCTCGAAAAGAGTGTTGCGCCCTAAGCAAGCGCTAGGGAATCGGATGGCTCCTAGGCCAGTATAGAGTGCCCATGGGCATATCGCGAGTGTGCCCGTGGGTTAACCGAGACCAACGTGAATTGCCCCTGAGCGACCGAGAACATCCAAGCGCGCTAACACATAGGCTCCCGGCCATTGCACCCTTCGGGCAGATCGGAAGAGTCCGTGGAAGACCCGTGATTGACAGGAGTAACCCGGCACGCTAGCAGGAAGGGCCCAGAAGCAGCGTAAGGTCCTCCGAGCAAATGTAAAACAATCAGGGGCGGCGTAATGGCTCTTTAACATGCCCCCGGGTGGCCGGCTAGATAACCTTCGTTCGGGTGGGGGTCAAGTTGACCCCCATAAGATCTCGGGAACTAAGAAAGCTAGAGAAGCTAAATCTACAGGGTGTGTTGACTTGTACGTGAAATCACTTAGGTCAAAGTTTGAGATTCCTAGGTCATGACCTTTGGGTCAAATCAGGTCAAACAGGATCAAAACCCATGTTGGTCTCCAAAATGCCCCAGAACATTAAAAAACTGTTTCTAAGTACAAGATCACATGTTCATTCAAGGTTACTTATCTTGTTTGACCTTTTGAAGGTCATGGTAACCAAAATTATGCAAGACTGCTCTGAGTTTTACATTTGAATAAGCGACAAAGATTACTCTAGACAGTATGCTTCTAAAAACAAAACGTCGACCTGGGTCATTTTAGGTTAATGACTTATTCTGACCTCTAAGAAGTTCATGGAAGACGTATAATGCGGTTCCTGCTATCAATAAATTTGAAATAAGCACCAGAAACTATCCCATACAGCGACCCGTAGAGTAATGAATCAGGTTGGTTTTGACCTTGGTCTGACCTTATCTGACCTTAGGGCAACGTAACTTGCTCATTCAATATTTGTGTTGCCTAAGAAAGCATCTCAGAGAAGTATGGCTTCGTCTAACACTCCGTTGTTGCATCAGGTTGAACGATTCCCTAGAAATTGACTTCGATGAAACCATGGACTGACTTTGACCTGCCATAGGTCAGCGACCTTACAAGGTACATCTAACTTTTTGATACCAAACGATCCAATATTAAATTTTCTACAGCTACGCAAAATTCGGCGCGACTACGCCGCGCCGTTCGTAACCCATTCTGGAAAACCTTTGGGGGCGGAGTAAATTTGACCCCCACCCGAGCGCATGTTTTCGGTCGGATTGACTCTGCAAATGGATATATAGCTTCCCTGGAAATCGCTTAGAACCTCTGGACAGCGTAATGACGGTTAAAGCCTTCCATTAACCATCCTCTCAGTCAGTGAATAATTATTTTTATCTCCTGGCGGGCCCTTCACTTTCGCCTGCGACTGTTCTTGGTTGCCTGGAAGCCCAAGCCGTCCAATTTTGTATTCGTTTGTTGCGCTTGGGTGCGATCGCGTTTTTTGCTGAGAAACTGCGTCCGTTTGGTCGGCTATGGGCCTCTTCGGACCTTATGACCTCCGTGTCTCCGGATCTGCGTGTCTCCCCCATCGCCTCTGGATCTGGACACGCCCGTTCGCTAGTACTGTAAATCGTGAAGAGCTTTGTATATACAGAGTACTCCGTTCATACGGACTGCATATTGATTCGTGAAATGGTTCTGTAACTCACAAGGCTTTCTGATTTCATGGTCCAAGGCAAGAGGCAGCAGGGCTGCGGGGCAGCTGATAGTGCCCGTCCCTGGGCAGTTGTGGTAAGCAGCGCCATGTACTTAGATTTTCTTCCGACGTTAGCGCGCTCTACGTAGCGTGTCGACCGCTTCCCAGCATTGTGCTGGCCTGGCCTCATTTCTGACCGGATGGCGCTCTCACACGCTCCCAGCCCTGAAGTGGACTGTCTCACTACCGGCTTCCAGATTGGCTGTGTCTCTCACCGGGTCCTGATATGAAGCGTTCCTCTCTCCCGGCCCCGGGATGAGGTGCATCTTTCAGGCAGCCGTAGGTGTAAGGCGTCTCCCTTCCCCCCCCCCCCCCTTGAGATGTCGCGCACTGACTTCGTCACACCTAACACTCAGGTTTCCGAGTGTGTGTCTCACCAAACTCTGAAAGTGAGTGTGTCTCGCTCCTAGCTCTGATATGCTGTGCGTCTCCTTAGCTCTGAGATGACGCGTGCCTTCCTGGCGGCTTTCCAGCAAAATGTATCTTCCTCCCAGCCTTCCACACCATTCTAACTCAACCCATCGATGTCTCTTAAACGAAATTATGTGTGCAGGATTTTATCTAGCTCTTCACATGATTCTTAGGAAACTAGGCCATGTGCAGCTATTATTTTGGATTCACAGATATCTTCTCGTGAGTCCCGTTTGGAAAGAAGTAAGTTCAAAACGATCGTATACAGGAAAAAGTTTATATCAGGTTGAAATTTAACAGCAAGCCGAGAATAATTAAACGTTGCTACAATTCAGGTGCAATATACTAATGAAGCATCAGAAACACATCCCTAAAATTTGCCGTTGACATTTTAAAGATAGATTTAGAGCAGGATGACAATTTTGATAAAAACATGATCTTTCATTCCCTATGCCATTCATGTTTTATTCCTGAAAAATGTAACAGTCATTTCCATACCGACTCATCCAGGGAGCACCGAGTCGGTACTCCTACGCGCAGGAATACGTCATTCGACGTTAATACGGTTCGTTAGTCCAGCTAAAGGAGAGACCGGATTAGAAGATGTGCGGATATTTCGGCATTCATTAGCGTGTCACCATCGGGAACCGCCAATTACCTGCCTCAGGCAATCTCCGTATTTAGTAAAATACCACCCAGTCGTGTTAAATGCATCGATAGTAATAGGATACGAATAAAGGGAAAATTTATTTACATACCTGGAACAATTTATATGGCGGGTTAGCGAAGTTTTCACGCTTCCAAATGTGCGTTGCTGATTTATTAGGCTGCGCTAATCGTCTTATACTTATAATGGCTGTTTTCTTGATCGCAGACGCCTCAGGAAATCTGCTGCTAAAGAAATGCATGGTGCTTTTCACCCCTCCTGATGTTACCTACATTAAGAGTATGTCTTGAAGTGTTGAATGCGGTGATACCACAAAAAAGCTGAATGTTGAAATCTGGTTTAATGTTAAGTTCAATAACAAAATTTTGGGAACCTTGTTTAAAGCTGCACTATGTCACCAGCAACTATTTTGACTATCGTAAATTCAGGGCATGTTAAAAAGTCTGGGCTCACTGAAATGAACCAGGCGATGGGAGGAAGACCAACTGCTCCGTCCCCCCCTCCCCCCCCCCTCATACGTACAGGTCAGAAAAATGAAAGACAGGCAAACGCAGAGGCCACAGAAAGGCAAGCGTACCTTTACTCGCTGTGATGCGTCTAGGCGTTGGCGTAAGTTGCATAAGTACAAAAGACTGCACAAATTCTAGACCAGTGCTAAAGAGCCTGGTTGTGCTCAATGGGGGATGTGGGGGAGCGGGAGATAGCGACGGCGGTCAATACTTTTACCATCTTCTTAAACAAGCTGGTGTGATCCGACATGGGATGCAAGAGCTGAGGATGCCTTCTGGGATGATGGTTTGACTGTCTACCGGCCCTTGAAAACTGGCTAGTGGGGTGAAAGCAGTGAACGCCTTAACTGTTCCACCTACTCCGTCACAAGGGCTTTGTGGTAGCATGTGTGAAAAAGTGTTAGTTATGGTCCATCTTAAATGCACTTCAGTGAAGGCACATGTTCCGGGCTGCTTATTTTATTCATTTTCGGCAGCTGATCCGTCGGTATAATGACGGGCTTTCTGAACTGAGCTATCTTCCTGTCTCAGCAATTAATTGGCCGTCTTCTGGAATATGCATCCCGTTTGACTCCGGCTCGGCGAAGGCTAGCTTTTCCAGCTAATTCACGAAAAACTTTTCCTTGCCATTCCATGTGCATGACAGACGGCTGCACTG